ACGGCGTCCAGCCCCAATTGCTGCCCGGACACAGTGCCCTGAGCCCGGAGGTCCCGGCAGCAGGACACCCCCACCCTGGCTCACCCCACCGCCGCACATACGTGCACCTTGATCTCGTCGTCACCGGGCTTGAGGCGGAGGCGCCCGCCCTCCTGCTCCAAGGCGAAGACCTCGGGCTGGGGGTAGTAGCGGAAGCGGAAGAGCCAGCGGCCAGCGGCGCCGTCCAGCAGCACGCTCAGGTTCCCCGACGCCGTCTCCACCTTGCTCTCGAAGGGGAAGGCTGGGCCGTGGCACAGCAGCCGCTCTGGTGCCTGCGAGCCCTCGCACTCCTGTGGGCGGCGGGATACTGGGCACCGGCGAGGCACGGTGCCCGGGGGATCGGGGCGGGCAGGGCAGGGCCAGGGGGTGACGGCCTCCTGCCCCGGCACTTACCGTGGCTTCGGTCCTCACGCCGCTGGCTTCAAAGCGGATCTTGGCGCGATACACCGAGTCCAGATGGGTGCCGATGATGGTGAGCATTGAGCCCCTGCGGTGGGCAGGGGTCAGGGCCCCAGGGTGCACATGGTCCCCAGGGTGCATGCAGTTCCCAAGGTGCATGTGGCACCCAGGGTTAGCGTGGTCCCTGGGGTGCATGTGGTCCCTGGGGTGCATGCGGTCCCCAAAGTACATATGGTCCCCAGCGTGCATGTGGTCCCTGGGGTACATGCAGTCCCCGGGGTGCATGCAGTCCCCAGGATTAACATGTTCCCTGGGGTGCATGTGGTCCCCAGGGTGCACACAGTCCCCAGCACCTCATCCAGCCTGGCCGGGGCGGTGGGGAGGCTGGGGCTGTGCCCGCAAGGGGAAGGGAGCCCATGCACTCACTCATAGCTGCAGCTGGGGACGATGGCCGAAACGAAGGGGTCAGGGCGGTACTGGAAGGGCAGGGGGGCCGGGAACTCCTCCCCGTCGATCCACAGGGCCACCCAGGCTGCGCCCAGGCCACTGGCAGCAGGAGCTGTGCACCGAATCGCCCCATCGCCCTGCCTGGGGACACGGCGGCTGTGGCTGGAGGGGACAGTGGGACCACGGCGGGGGACCCCATGCCAGTCCCCATGCCGGGGAACCCACTGTGCCCGGTGGGGGCAGGACAGGGGCATACCTGGGCTGCCCGGCAAGGGGGCACACAGAGCCGTTGACCATCACCCGCCAGCTGCTCCCTGCCGAGAGGTGGGTGCCACGCAGGGAGACGTGGGTGCCACCCCCCTGGGGGCCAAACGGGGGGTGCAGGGCGCTGATGTGGGGCTCCTGGGCAGGCACAGGGTTGGTGGGGTGGGTGGGTGAGCCAAACACCCTCCTGCAAACCCTGCCAGGGGTCCCCGCCAGTGCAGGGCCGTACCACGAAGACGAAACCACTGAGGGTGGTCGAGCCATGGACGCGGAAGCTGGAGGGTCCGGCAGGTTCCTCCACGGTGAGCACCACATCGGCCGGGCCCCCTGCTGCTGTCGGGCCCCCTGGCTCCAGCTCGCACACCAGCACGTCCACAAAGTCCTTGCGGCGGGAGGTGGGCAGGGGTCTGCGGGGTGGTGATGGGGGGTCAGCCCCAGGCCGGGGGAGCAGCCCCGGACCCCTCTCTGCTGCCGGCACCCCCCCCCCCCTGGCCCCATCATGCCC